GCCTTGTCTGGATTATCAGAGAACTGTTCAATAAGTTCCTGAAGAGCTAAAAAAAGAGTAGGGGGGTTGGCATTCTCATTCTGCTGAACTACAAACTCGGCTGGGACTTTACTGCGAGCTTCATCCCCCAGGATCTGCTCACGGGGGATCCAGCCCTCCATATTCATAAGGTCTATCCAGTGGGCAATCGCCTCCCTTGTCAATTGGGGATCCCACTTGCTGAGCAGCAGCTGGTGAAAGCCCTCGTCCCAAAGGAATCCTCTGGGAAAGAAAGAGCGTGACGGTACAGCAGTGAATAAAGCACCTTCAGGGTACAGGAGTGGGTACTCGTTGTAGACTGACTGCACCACTGACTGCCCATAAAAGTAGCCCATTCCACCCAACATGTTGCTGAGTGCTGCCTTGCCAAATCTAATATGTGCCTGGCTAAAACCTTTGCTCTCAAGGCCAAAAGTCCTCTCAAACTTTGTGTCAAACTCAGCCTTCCTCTTCTCCAGCTCCTGGGTCATGATTGAGCCCACCAGTTGGTTGGGACGATCATGGAAGCTTCCGGACTCAAACAGAACCTCGACCTGAAATGGCATCTGCACAGTCACCTGGTGAACCACGAAGTCGCTCTCCTTCCTCGTGTCAGCAGGTTTCTGTTGGTTTGGATGATGGGGAGGCTTGTAGGTGTCTACAGCAATGTAATGCCTCTTCTCACCAGAGGGGAGGCTGTAGACAAACCTGTGGTTAAGACTGTGCTTCACGATCTCAGTGAGCTTCTCCAAGCCAGGAGACACAGTCTTAAGATAGTTGTAACTGAAAAGGGAAGAAAATCATTATGTATTGTCCTGTGTTTTCAAATCTATGAAACAAATCTTCAAAGTGTAGTTTACAGTGAGTCACTACTCTTCAAATAAACATAACTGAACGATACCCTAGCTTTGCTAAGGAAGCCTTAGCACAATATATTTAATCTTTGCCTTCTCATGCTGTACTGGTGACACAGAATGACTGGTCACAGTAAAATCGAATTCAAATTTAAGCTCCCTATTATACTACATCATACTTCCTCCCACGCTAAACTCATAATTCATACAATTCTTTTTATTTCTATCAGTGCATACTCTACCTTTCTATTTATATATGTTTTCTCTGGCCCTCACATTTTTTTATTCATACGTTTAATTCATTCATCAATCAAACAAAACGATTGTATTAGCAAATACAACATTTTTAAATCTTGAACGAAAAGGAGCAGAAAGAAGAATCTTATATAATCTGCCCCTCTCACACGACATTAACAAAGCAAATAATTCAAAAAAATATATAATTAAAATAGCTGCAGGCCAACACAGTATAATTTACAATTCACATGTGTGAAATATTGTTGCTGCCCGTTTATGTTGTTAACAGAGACAGCAGACAGTCCTGATCTCCTTAGTGCAAGAAATACTACAGTTTTTTGGTAAAAAAAAGTTGTGATAAATTGTGAAGGCTGCAAATCACAACTTTGATGACAGAATTAAGAAAACAAATGGTGAAAATCCCACTTTTACTGCCATCTAGTTGCAGTATTTATCTCTCCTGTAGTTCTGTAGTATCACACTACAGTACGAATCAATAAAAGGGGCTGCTGTAGATTATCTTTAGACCTGATAAAACTGAGCACACACAGTCATTTTACAGTATGTTCCCTGTGGTTATGTGGTTCATGATGACTTCCTTTTGAAAGTTGCTGCTGACTATACCGTTCAGATCTGCATTTATCCATTTACCTTGCATATCTGGCGCTGGATAATTCCCCAGTAACAGGCTTTCGGAAGGTGATCTTAAAATTTCCGAGCTCCTCTGAAAAGCCAGTGATGGATGCAAGGCGGTTCCTCTCCTCGACGTGAGCCTCCAGAGTGCCCTGTGTGTCTGCTGCAGCGTAAATCATTAGGGAGATGACGGGCGCTTGAGGTGCAGAGCTCTGATGGGTAAAAAAAAAAAATCAGTCAATATGTCATTCAGCAGAAAATAATTACAACAATTAACTGTAATATCCATGACGAAAATGTAAGAGTTTGGTTTATATTATATCAGAACTCACATGCTGCTTGGCAGTGATCCTCCAGGTCCAGTCTCCTCCATGATCCCCTCCCATCCTCTTAACAAACTCTGTGGTTAGGGTGAAATCATTTTCCCGGATTTCCTGGACACCAAAGTTGATCCCATCATGCATCATCCAGCCGTAGCCATGCAAACGATCCCCCTGCTCACAGGTGTGCCTCAAGTTCATGTCCATGTCAGAAAACTGACGCATCCACATCATACCTGTGGAGATGTGATTATGAAAGGACATCAATTTGGCTACATTGAACAGACTATGCACACACAAAAAACTGTGATATTGTTGAATCTGAATAATGCCAGGGCTCATTTCCCACCTTGTTCCTGATGTAGTGTAATTAAACACTTAATACTTTTTGAGAAACATCTTCAAAATATATTCACATTATTCTTACATATACATCATCCTGCAGCACTATAATATGTATTAAAATTACACATTTGTACAGAATTGCCAATGCCAAATGTTCTGTTAATCATCCCAATACAACTGTGTTTAACAGCTTCAGCTTGTTCTGAATGTGTCCACCAACCTGTCACAGTCGACCTGGGAGTCCTGGTTTTCATGCCAAAGTAGACCTGCGGCCTGTATGAACCCCAGAACCTCTCTGGAGAAACCTTAGCACTGCTGCTATTTGCATCCAGGACGGAACGGGACGGGTGCAGAGTCACCACCCGTTTGGCCAGACTGGACCGCATGTAGAGGGCGTAAAAGAACCAGATCAGACTGAATATGCAAAGGCCGATAGAGATGTTGATGAAGACTTTGCCAATGTCCATTTTCTTTTTCTTCTCCTTGCGGTGAAATGCAGAGGGCTTCTCATCTTTCCTTGGAAGCGGTGCAGCTTCACTGGTCACCACTCTCTTCCTCTGCCTTCCCATCATGCCCTTCTGAAACTGGAGACAAGATATTTGGATTTAAATATTTGAGAGGCAGAGATCTGTTGCAAACAATGTTTCCTTCTCTAATTTTTGTCCATTCTATCTTAATTATATCCTGTGGCTTTTTGCTTGTTTTGTTATAGGCTTGATAAAAAGATATATATTAGCAATATGTTTTACTGCTGAAAAAATGATGTAGATGGATTAAAGAACAGCCTGTTCAGAAACCAGAGCACTTGCATGACATCTCTGTGAATATGGTTTGTTGTTAAGACAGTCAAATGGCCGCAAAGAGACACAAAACAAGAATAAACTGACTGCAGAGAGAAGACTGACCATGATGACATAGAACTGAAAGGGAAACCATGAAAGACTTGCTCTTATATTGGATGGTGGGTTTTTTTTTTTTTTACATGTATGTGCCCACCCATTATAATGAGGACACCATTTCTAAATTGCCTCAATTCTAATCTTGGAAATTTCTCTACCGTAATTTAAGTTAATTATCAACCGGGATACATTTGCAACAACCAATACTGGCCAGTTTAGCTCTAATATCAATTAGGACGGATTCATTGATTAATCGTTTTAAATATAGAATTAAAGTAGATTATTAAAAACTAAACCATAATAATTCCTTCTTCAGCTGATATAAACGTGACATTCAGCAAGGAACAGGTTTTTTTTTTAAATGACCAAAAAAACAAACATCTTAAATGAAGTGATGATTGATTTCCTGGTGATCGATTAATCGGATTGAGGTTTTTTTAGACTGGACCGGTTTGTGCCACGTGCAGCTGATAAACTGGTAACTGAGTATACATCTCTTTTACAATAAATAAAACTGTTGCTGATATTTACAGCACATCATTATTATCATATATATAAAGAGAGAGAGATGACATTTTGTTTTCTGTGGTCGGTCTTGCAGGAGCCTCCTGTAGCGGCTCAGGCTAAAAACAGCAGCTCTTGCTAACGTTAACATCGCATGGTGCATTACGGCGGATGCGGTTTTCTCCTGTTACCTTTCGTTTAACTTGTCTGTAAAGAGTCTCCCGTTAAAACCACCGACACCTGTTTCACGGTGAGCACATTCCGCCGGTACCCGCCGACTCAACCCGTAATGCAACGTAGTCTTGAGGCTGCACGCTAGTAGTGCTAGCGTCAGTTTTAGCTTCAAAGACGCGCTGTCTCAACATTATGCACATTCAATCAGTCAGCACATGAACAAACATGCGTCCAGGACCTGGTTCTAGTTCAATGTCCATAGAGGAAATGATCACAGACCTGTGGAGACACAGCAGAGGATCAGCTGCTCATTCTCCGCTGCTAGCTGACGAGCTACTTCCTGGTCAGTGCTTCCTTCACTGACGTGGGCTCTGCTCCCCGTGCTGCCTTCACGTACCGTCGTTTGAAAAGACAGGAACACTGACAGTCGGAGCAAATGTTTTATTTTGATTCGATTCAATATATTTATTTTCAATCAGCTAAACTTATATACACAATTCCTTTGCTATGGTGCCCTAAATTTTCTTTTATCCATAGCCTAAACATGAATACCAAACATCCACTATAAATATAAATGAAAACAGGGTGAAGTCAGGATTTTACAACTTTGAATTAAACTTAAATAATTGGCAGTTCTTGAGAAATATATAATAATAATAATAATAAAAATCTGATCAGATTACCACTATCAAATTCTCCAAAACACGCTTTTGGTTGTCAACACTCTAGACAGAAACAGAAAAATCCAGTCCTCCACATGTTGCATTATGGTTCTATAACTACACACTAATTTGGGTACGACATCTGTACTGACTTTCCATTTACTATTCAAATTTGGTATAAAGATCATCAAAGGTGTTTTTAAGATAATAAATATTATTGAGAAATACAGAATAAAATCTCTAAGGTTCAGTGTGTAGAACTCAATGACATCTAGTGGTGAAGTTGCATGTTGCAGCTCCTGGTTCCTCTTTCACAAATACTGTCTGCACAGAAGAAAAACACAACAGATTTCATTTTGATGCCTTTTTTAATGAATGAAATATATTTCTTATCCACATTTGTTTTTAACTTTGGTCAACATGTAAAACTTTTACAGACAGTGGCAGTAAACAATCTGAATATACCGAACAGGGCTGCCTTCTCAGATGTGTTAAACAAAATCAAAGTTTAATAACGATCCGGATTATTTCTGCTCTCCAGAGCAAGTTTGGCTTCATATTGTGAGGTTACCTGTCCAGAATCCATCGCTGTCCATGTGACTGCTGATCAATTGCAAGCAAAGTCAAGAATGCTCAAAATATTGCCTGTTCAATTATCTTTACACATATTACACCCCACTTTATTCTTATTTTCATTAAGAGCTTCACAAGTATATTTGCCCTAATGCAATTTAACACCCAAACAGTGCCCAAACACCTCTTGTGGTCATAGCTGTGCTGTACAAAGTGAAGATTTTGACTTAGAGGAAAAAAAAAGATAACAAAAAACTCTGTTAATGAGGGATGGATAGAAGCACTGGAACCAGTAGGTGTTCCTAATCATTTCAAATCATTTGTGGTAGAAAATAAAAAGCTTTAGATCCTTGCTGTTGAGCTAAATTACTAAGTGCTCACTGACTGTACAGTATGCTGTCTTTTAAGTGCTTTTTTCCATTTATAGCACATAACATGAAAAAAACAGGGCAGCAACAGGTGAAGCAGAGCAAGAGACAATCCATCCTAACTCATCTCCCACAAAACCCATCCTGTCCAGCCGCCTGTCTGTCTGTCTGTCTGTTTTTGTCTGTCTGTCTGTCTGTCTGTCTGTCTGTCCTCTGCAGCTCTGACTTGAATTATTTCCTGACAAACAGGTACAAAGACTAAGGCAACAGGGGCGCATCAACCCCCAGAAACAAAGAATATTCTTACAAAAATGTCAAAAACAGTGATTAACAAGATGAAGGGAACTGAACGGCCACGGCACTCTTCAGTCTACTTTCACCGAACGTCAACGCTGGTTTGTGTAATGACAACATTATCAGGAGAGGAACAAGGAAACTTTAGACCGGCCAGTGCGCCTGATGTCAGAGAGACATGCTGGGGCAGAATCAAGGTGTAAAGAACCTGTAGCGACTCCTCCTCTTCCTCTTCTTCCTCCTCCTCTTCCTCCTCCTGCTGCTCTTCCTCTTCCTGCATTAGGTCTTGATCACTCCTCCATCGCCTTCGCTTACAAAACGCTTTCGCCCTCTGGTGGAGAGAAGTTTGAGAGAAATAACAGTATGATTCTGGTCTATTATAATAGTGTATAAAATGTATAAAAGTGTATTCCTCTGTGTCACTATTAAAAGCATTTGTAAGCCACACTATTGCACTGAGTATCATGTTGCTTCATTTCCATGAATATGGGCAGAGCAGCTTATTCTGAGTTCAGTCACATATACAGAGTCCTGTTATTACTGCACCAAATGTGTATTCATCTCTGTCTTACAATAGTCCCTATCAAAAGCCCCACCTCCTACTACCTCTATCTAATACAAGTCCACACTAAAACAATACTTCTCGGGGGTTTTAAAACATTTGCTCGGTTCATTTTGAAATATTATATGATAAAAGAGCTTTTCCAACAGCTGTCTGTTAAACAGCTGTTTAAGACAGACAGCTACAGAAATGATTATGCACCCATTCCTTTTTTTTTTCTATTTACAATAACCCAAGCATATTGAAACTAGAGTTAACGCCCTGTGGTTGTATGCCTCTGCCAACCAGTGCAGTTTCAGTCAACATATTTTCTTCTCAGACTTATATGAAGTCATCTTTACCAGAGACCTTTTACCACTGAAATCTAATTAGTTCATCTTTTAGACCAAGTCTCAAACTTGAAGAAATACCCTAAACGCAGACTTTAACTGCCGTGTTCAAGAGGCCGAAAATATTCTGTGGCCACCATGACTTTTGCCCACCAAAATCGAATCAGTTTATCTTTGAGTCCGAGTGAACATGAAGAACGGAATGAATGGAACAACCACTAGAAAATCGACTGCCTTTGGCCACTGGTTGACGTCAGCATAGAGGCATAAAAAAGTGTGTTTGAGAGACACTTGATTCAGAGATATTATTAGAAAAATTTAATTCTGAAGAGCTTTTTTTTATCAACTATTCACTAACCTGGAAGGACAAGCATCCCTCAGCTGTTTGGTGATGACAGACTCCTGGTAGCAGAGGTCCACAAAGGTCTCCATGATGGAGTGGGCATGTGGCACATCTAGGTTGATTTCAGGGAGTTCATCGTAAACACGTTGGAAACCCTACACGAAAAACAAGTACGGATATGAACAGTCAAGATTCAATTCTCATCAACATCATACATAAAGTGTAAAATCTATTGAAATGATTTTGCTACATTTAGGGACTGACCCTGTTCATCTGATCCACAGTGATCAGGCCTGTTTTCCAGAAGGACTGAAGCAGCTTAATCATCATATGACTGGCAGTGTCCCCCTTCGACTCCAGCACCATCACTACAGCCTGAAAAATACATACATACAACATCATGTAAGAGAGAGGGACGTGTTCTGCATCAGGCGCCACAAATCCAGACAAGTGAAAGTTACACATTTCCCCACATGGTGGCAGTGTTTGAACACATTTACCATGAGACATTTTTACATCAGGAGTCAGGACAAAGGACTGAACATTACTGTTGTCCTCGTAAAACTCCTTCACACTCGCCAGCATAAAAGATCTTGTTATTTTTTTATTGGGAATAATAAAAAGCTTATCTGACATTTTAAAAAAGTATTATCATTTCCAAACTGTAAAAAGGAGTTTAACTGGTTATAAACCGCACCCAGCTACACAACAAGAAGTGTACATACACTCTCAACACATGATTATAAACACTTGTGTGTTCAGTTTCATTTGATTGACAGAAAATGTTTTTGACTTTGATGACACATTGTTCAAATAACATAATTTGACAAAATTAATGTGCATTTTCTTTGCTAAGATCAGAAACCTCACAAATAAAATATTCAGCGACAACTTGTTCTGAACTATCTGAACTTCCCTGAGCATTATGACATTTGTGTTGAGGATAAACAATTATTCTGTAGTATACAATGTGCTTTTCCATTCTGATTGACTAGTACTGAACTCTAGATCATTTTCAAAATTTTCAACATCTGTCTACTTGACACAAAAGAAAACAGGGTTTACTGATACTACAGCATTACTGATCTTCAACTTAATCTTATCGTCACTTTTTTGAGTCAGAATTTGCAGATATTCTAAGTAAAAGACATAAGACTTAATGTTTGATACACTTGCAAATCCAATTTATGCTCAAGGCCATTGTTTTTATTTAAAACAGGTCATATTTGAGGCATCAGGTTGACAGTACCTCATAGACCAGCTCATGGTGGAAGTGAGGGACTTCCAGGTCTCTCAGACAGTGATCTGCCTCCTTCACATCTCCTGATATCAGATACTCTTTGAGCAGAAGGTTCATCTGTAACAAACACATATGAATGAGACCATTGTTGTTTTCTTTAATATTCACTGTTCGTTTGCACAACACCCGGTCATTTACAGTGTAGGTGCAGACTGGATCAAACACAGCCGGATAATTATATGTGTCCCATCATTATTGTTGGTTGTTCCTGTAAAGACTGGGGTCAAATGTGCACTGAAATCTATTAACTCACATTGGATTAAAGTACGAAAACAATGGTCCATCTTATCTGTTATACACATGAAAAGTATTTGCAGAATCCCTTCACACAAGTCTGATATATGACAATTCAAGGGTCTCTATTTAAACAATCCACTCACACGGACTAAAGCCAAAGGTGTAAGAGTATTAAGGGTGTGTCTAAATCCACTGCTAGTAGATTAACAGCAGAAAAAAGGTTGCTGTGACTGTGTGTGTTCAGAAGTGTTGTGTTTAATTAATCATGTGTGTGTGTTTTGGATGCAACATGCTATCAAAGTGCCAGCTACTATTCCCTTTAAAACCTTTCTTCTTTCAAGCATTTCTTCTTGTTTTCATCTACACTTGAATCTTTTGGTCTGGGCTTCAGTTTTTAATCTGTGGTGTTCACTGCGGAGCTGCACGCAGCATTTGACTTAAACCTATTTATGGAACAATTAGTCACACTTGAGATTTGAGATAAGTGTGATTAATGCAACAAGTGCAAACCTCTCGGAGCTGAACCAACACTTCTGAGTCAACTCTGGGTCTAATTCAAGCTGAGGGAATGTGAGTCAATGTGAGGACAGTGACAGAGAAGGGGGGGATGAAGGAGGAGTGAAGAAAGGAGTTAAAGGACAACTACAGACAGAAGAGAGCGAGAGCAGTGAGTGAACAAGGCCACAGACAACCAACCAGGAAATCAAAAGTGGACAGGAGAGGATGATGTCTGAGGGCTGCTTACGATACTGAAGACACAATGAAAGATAACACACTCATTTCAAAACATACGAGAGCGTGTTTGATTTTGAAATGACAGTGTGGTCTGTGTCAAATGCTGCGTAACTTAACAATTTTACAAAATATGTACTTGAAACTCCCACACTTTTCACACCCATCCCAGAAATCAAGATCATGGAACAATAATTATAAACAAAGACAAAGCAGAGAACACATGTGGGGCCACTGTGTGTGTGTGTGTGTGTGTGTGTGTGTGTGTGTGTGTGTGTGTGTGTGTGTGTGTGTGNATTATAAACAAAGACAAAGCAGAGAACACATGTGCTGTCTGTCAGTGTGTGTGTGTGTGTGTGTGTGTGTGTGTGTGTGTGTGTGTGTGTGTGTGTGTGTGTGTGTGTGCGTGGGCCCCTCCTGCACCCTCGTTTTTGCAGTTCTCACTTCTCAGGGGAGAAAAGCGCTCTGCTGACACAGCAACATAGCAGCGTGCTGGCCTGTGGCTCTCTACCCAGCATGCATCTCTGCCTTCTGTTTACATAATGTCAACAAAGAGAGGAGCACAGCTCGTTCTCAATCTCAGGTGTTGGGGATTATCTCCATTAAATCATTTAGAGAAGCAAAAGGAGCAGGCGACTTTTCAGGTTTTTATAATGTACGACAGTCTCCCAGTCTGACCTTACCTCTTTGACGAGATGTTTGACAGGTCTCAGGCCTCCGCCCACACCCCACACGTTATCTAAACGAACCATCTCCCTCTTCATGGTCAGCAGCACAGCGGCACGGTCTAAAGCCACTCTGGAAAAAATAAGAGACCACATCCGCGATGTGATTTTAATGCATCTACTACAACACTAAAGTGAATTACCCAATTTAGCATGAAGGTCCAAAATGACCAAGATGACCCCATTCCACAGATGTTGTATTCCATGGAAATATTAAGTGACAACCACACATCTGCTCCTTTTTAAACACACAGAACGATCCACAGATCCACCATAATCTCGAAGATTTCTGTCCTGGTCGATGCAGTGACACCTGTTGTTGCAGTAAAACACACCAATGTTTTGCTAAAGAAGTCAAATGACCTTTCATTCTGTGATCTGATCGTACAGCTCACATCTTGCGAGGCTGTGAACAGCAGGGTGCAGTGACACGAGTTGGTTGGAGGTGTTCGGCCTGTCGCCTGCTGCTCTTCATCTAACAGCTCACTGTTGCTGCTCCTTCTTCTTCCTCTGCAATATCTCAAACTGATACACTGTCAAAACATAACCATTGTCTCGTTTTTTGGATGAATGACAGTGTCCTCCGACTACGACTTAATAAAAGTAAAACCATTTTTACGCCCAGGGGCCTCAAAGGAAGATCTGGGTGGTGTCACTAGGAAGAGGGATGTCCGGGATACCCTACTTGGCCAGTTATCTCACATAAGGAAGACAATGGATGGATGAATGTTTGTAGTTTAATTAATTTAATGTAATAGAGCATTTTCATGGGAATTTCACCACAGACACAAAGTTCCCAACACTGCAAATATATAAATATTGAGACGCTCATGGGGTCGTAGACTCTGTTCAGTCCATAATAGATAGATGACGTAAGATGCCTTCAGACATGCACTGAATTTCATTTTGTATGTGAGAACGTAAATGTCAGAGTCAGTTGCTCTAGATAATTCCCAGAACTTTTCCTGTCAGTACCCTGAATACAGCAGGAAGATACACAGTGAACGAGTGGGCATTTTGATAACGTCTCAAACACGGGAATGATACAAAACTGAACAGAAAAAACAAATCTCTCAGGGTATATTACAGATGCTACTGCACATAGAAGACGCTAGAGATGTCCAACAAGACGAGGAGATATGAGACCTTTTGGTGACACGAGCCAACGGTGGTGTGTACGCACTCACGAACATCTCCAGCTACATTCTTCATGTGTGAAAGACTCTGGAAAAGGTCTGCACCCAATTATCTAGACATTTTTTAGAACTAATGTCTGGAAACGCCTTTAGATTAAAATCTTTGAGGTAGCCACTGAGGTAGAATTTTTTTTTAATAAGCATATTGATTTGCTTGTGTCGGCTCACCTGGCATGATCACAGTCCACTTTGCCCTTGTAAAAATCCAGAAAAGACATGGGGAGGACGTGGTCCGCGATGGCTCTGGCTATGAACTGGCCCAGCATCTGAAGGAGAACACATCCCTGTATCACACACTGAAGTCCAACATGTTGTAGTGTAATGTGACAGCATGAAGACCCAGGAATGATTGTGTTTGTGTTAAAAGCTCAAGTGGTGAATGTGTGTGTGTAGTATCAGTCAAAACTAAACTGACGTCTCGTACTTAATCTTTAAAGTGAGTTAAGCCCTGAAGTGTGTCCCCAACCTCTTACGAGCCACTTATGCACAACAGAAATCTGGGGCATTCTCTCTCAGTGTCTCAGTTCTACCTGCGGAGCCTCCGGTGTGTCCAGCATGAGGTCTGGCAGCTCTTTCAGTGTCTTGTCGAAGGCTCTGGCCATTTCGCTCTGTGACAGCATCTTGCCCGACAGATCTGAGAGCAGGCGGGAGGTCAGCTCTCTGTGGCTCGCCTTGCCCTCGAGGGACAGGGACACAGCCAGGGAGGAGAACTCGTACTTATGGTGGCCCAGGTTGAGGCCCTTCAGCAACATCTGACAGGAATGAGAATTAAGGATTATTGTGGAGTAAATTTACCGATTACAGATTACTATTACGCATAACGCAAGTCCAGTTTACAGAAATACATGGTCTTTCACGAAAGCATTTTTCAGACATGAACTCCAGAAAATGTCAGGACTTGGCGAGATCGAGCCTTGACCCTCTAGTTCCCTGCTGTATGCTCATGTGGGTTCACTCTATTTTTCAGACAGTTTACTTGGGAGATGGCAGGAAAACTTCCATAAAATGTAACTGACTTGGATATTTGCTTTCACACATGCAGCCTGGACTTCAGAGCATGTCTGACAGTGTCTTAACAAATACTTTTACTGATCTAATTCATGGTGGACACACTGCAGTGTGTGAAGAGGAAATGACTTGAAAGCTTGTACCTGCACTTCTTTTGTGTCTCCATGTTCAAAATACTCCTGCACAATCGGGTTGACCATTTTCTCCAGCTCCCTCTCATCGACTTCTGGCACGACCTTTGCATAAACCGTGTCTCCCTGCACAAGAACAGTAACATTATCAGTAATAAAGTGGATGCACAAGATTCAAGTTTTTAATTTGCAATTCAGTATTGATCCAGCATGGGATGCTGATATTTAAGATTCAAGATGTTTATTTTTTTAAGCTTAATGAGCTGAGAAAAAGTTAAATGACAATTATTGTCACTAATATAAATTCCCATTTAAACAGGCCTGAAAAGTTATACTGTGACATATATTCATTTCAGATTTTTAACAAAAGGGCTTTTCTTCTGCAAAGCAAACTAACAATTTAAACTTCTACGTTTTTGTTCCAGTCATCAGTCATAACCAGTCCGACTAGGTTTGAGGTGAGGTGTTGCTCCACCTGGAGAACAATAAGCAGCACTGATAAAATAATCTCAGCACAAGTACTTTCCTTTTTACATCTCCACTTTCATCATTTGGTAAAATTTTTAAAGAGCTGAAGCCGAATGTTCTACATGTACAAACAATATTCTTCATGTTTTGTCTTCATGTGGCAGCCATTTATACCCTGAACAAGTGTTTCTTAAAATCTAAAAGGATGAGAGGAGGCGTTCCGTTCAGAAATCTCATGTGAGCCCCTCAGGCCGATTTAAATTCCACTGTACATGTCCCATCTGGGTTTTAACTCTACCACTCTGTCCCAGTTCACTTGAACACACTGACACCATTCCACTGTGCTCAAGGCCAAATCACAGAGGTTTTTCAAAAACTTTTCCCAAATGGTTATCAACTCCTCTCTCTGACAGAAGCTCCATTCCCACTCAGCGTCCCACAGAGCGTTCAGCTCGATAATGGGGTTAAAGATTGAAAATGCTGTTGATTGTGATAGGACAGGTCCATCTGGGTGAAAACATCATGTGAGCAGGCGTGTTTTTTTTAAATGAGCTTTAGCCTTGGGTTTTCAAATGTATTAACAATCAAATATAAATTACAAAAACTGGCCCATTGATTGTTTGCACACTAAGATAAGAAAGCAATTTATTCTCTACATAGGTGTGTTGACAATCATCTTGTTCACAGGGCAAAGCCTCTTTTATATTCAGAGGGTCCCAGCAGCAGCAGCAGCCTCAACATCAGCACATTTGTTTGACACAAGAAAGAAAAGGTGTCAGACAACACAGCTTTGATCAGTGGGCCTCTGTGGAACAAAAAGCTGCTGCAAACAACACGTCTGACCAACAACAACCGAGATAAACCAACCTGAGCGGCGGAGACTCATTCATTAGTGGAGAAACAACAATGTTGGATAAAGATAAGTTAGTAACATCAATATTTAAGGGTTGGCACCAGAGACAGAATATCTTTCTTTTATTCAGTTTGACAGAAAACAAAATTATCTTTAAATCATCTATCTGATAAGATAGATTACTTTATTCATCCCCAAAGGGAAATTTGGTAAAACAACAAAGTCAACAACATCTGACACTGTTATTTCCTCTCATTTTATATTCCTACACATTTTATAACAATATATAAAATTTATTTAATATTCAATACTGAAAAGAAATGGTGGTTTCAACAGTCTGTACCAAACTCCCTCAGTCTGCCACACTCACTCACTCACTCACCTGGGCAAACTCATCATAGTTGGGGTCCCGCACATCAGGCTCCTCGTCTTCATAAACCATCCCAGCAGCCCCCCACACTCCTTTACCACCTGCCCCACCTGCAGACAACCAGCGAACACACTGTAGATAAGTGGAGCTCGCTGCAGATGAATTTCTCCCAAAGCAGCTTGAACAGCTGATGAAATGCAGGTCAAGAAACAAACAAGGTTTCCAACCTAACTGACTGTCACTGTCAACAATCAGCACAAAGTGTCAATACAAACTATAGACTAACTCACACTTCTCAACATTTGATGACCAGAGACGAGACAACTGTGACTTAGTTATATCAGGGGTTTTAACTTTTGAGTCAAGCCCTTTAAAGTGTATTTTCCTCTCCCTCAAACCCTGTAAGTGCAGCCTGTACCTTTTTTTGGCAGGCCCCTGCCCTTGCCCGTCCTGGATTTGCGGTCGTTGGTGTTGACTTTGCCTTTTGGACTGTTTGGGTCGCCTCCTGCCACATCTCCCGACTCGGAGAAGGACTCGCTGGTGGAGTTGCGGGACGAGGACTTGCGCAGGCGACGCTTGGCTTTGGCTTTGAGCCGCGCCTCGTGCAGCGCCTTCTCCTGGGGCGTCCAGTTGCCGTTCAGCTCTGCCTCATTCAGCACATCATCATCGTCGTCGTCGTTGGGATGGTTGGCCTCTGCTAGATTTTCGTCGAAAGAGAACATCCCTGTGATCAGAGAGATGGAGCAGGTGAGTTGTAGTTAACAAGGACACAATAGTGCACATCGAGGTACCTGAGACGAATGCATTGTCTGCAAGTACATCAAATGGTCACTTTGACTGTATGAAGTCAATCAGTGTTCATGGTAAAGTTAGTGAGGAGCTTGTGGAGCTTGTGGCTTGACATAATCTTTAACAAGGCTCCATCAACTCATCGCTAATGGTCTTCACAGTCATTGCCAGAACAACAGGTTTTGGAATAGGGTATTAGAAGATACTCTCCACCACCATCCTCTTAATACAACACGAGAGAATGCACTTCACTTGTGTTCGGGCTTGTTCAAGATTGGTTCAATTTGCAAACATTTTAAAAAACAGATTCAAGCACAACATCAACAATGGCGAACTACAGCTTCTCCTTCCAGACTGGCCGGTTTGTCTCCTCCATGGACCACTGCTGCTTGTTTGGCATCCGTAGACAAAAAATACTCAATCACATGACACAAGCTAAATGGTGGTCACAATGTTTTGGTTGGTCTTATAGGTTAGGATAATCCAACCACCAAACATAAGCAGTTCTTTCCTCCAGAGCTGCAAAGTGTGAACCAGTTTTCACACCTTGCAACTCAGTTTTTCTGACCGAGACATAGTTCAAGATCGGGCACAAGTTCCACACCAGCATTTGAACAGCCTTGATGGAAAAGAGGTGTCTCCACTTGGTGTTGATTATATTATTCATATGATTGCTGGACATATATTATGGCTGAGGATTAGTTTTGCACCACAAAGCTGAAGAATACAGGGAGAAGATACGTATTGTACGATTAACTTGCTGTGATTGGTTGGATTTACCTGCCCTGCAAACACAACATGTTTATCCAGTGTGAGTTCAGAGCGTGAAAACAAAGAGTGACTGCGTGTGTTATCTGTGATTCTCACACACACACACACACACACACAC